CCCGCCCCCGAGAGGCCGCCCCCTTCCTCGCCGCCCCGCCCCCGAGAGGCCGCCCCCTTCCTCCTCGCCCCGCCCCCGAGACACCGCCCCCTTCTGCCCCGCCGGCGCGCGCCGCGTGGATCCGCGTCGTGGATCGCGCGGCAGACTCGGGCCGCTCACGCTCGGCCCCGAGCCCAGACGGACCCTGATGAAGAACCGGGAGGCCGGGCGGGGAGCCGCGACTGAAGCCGCCGGCTAATCCCAGCACACGCAAAGACCCCGGGATTCCGGGCCAAAGGAAGAAGACAGCTGCTGTCAGCAGATGAAGGAAATGGGCAGACGTGGGTGGGGCCTGCACCTGAGTGAGTCAGATTCCGGCCAGACCTCAACCGTGATTCTGGGCCTGGGCTCGGAGGTGTGATGAAACCCGCTTCCCAAGTGACCCCTTGCCTGTTATCCCGGCCCTGCCTTACCCCGTGCTGGAGCGAAGGTCAAAGCGGCCCCTTCTGGACAAGAAGGGCTGCTCCCTGCAAGCCTGGCTGGTGTCCTACTGTGCCTTAACTCTTCCAGGTTACAAGCATGGATGAGAGACCCCTGCTGTGGCTGAGCTCAGCCTTGTGGAATGGCTGCGAGGCATGCCCTGGGCTGGGCACCTCACAACTCACACCTGCACACACACCCTATCGCCCATGGTGGTGGAAGGTTCCGGCCCTACCCTGCAGATCGGAAGCTAAATTAGGGAGAATCACCAGGTTGCTTCCTGGGATCCTGCTTGGTTTTTGATTATCCTCAATCCAGGAACCCCTGGGCAGTTACTCCTGGCATGGCGACGTTAGCAGCTCCCTCGAGTCACCTGTCACTATTCTGCTCCCACCTTAGGTTCAGCCACTTGGGAATCTTTAACCCCAGTTTGCCAAATGCCGAAACCATCAATTTTCCTCTGACACCTACTCTTCCAACCACTTACACAAGAAACACGGAGGCATCTCTCACTTGCTCCCTCATTTCCCTTGTGTCCCCAAATGCAAACCAAACAAATTTCTTGCAACCTTCATTTCTTTCCATCATTCTCAGTGTTCATACCCTGAATAGATACTAAACCTGGCCTATTGCTGTAGCTTTCTGTTTCCTCTGTTCACAGGGCTGGAAAGTGAATTTTCCTAAAGCCTACCTTTGACCATGACAGTTTGCTGCTGCAAATTGCACCCACACACCACACTGTCCTGTGGCTTTGGCCTATGGGGTAAAATGCAAATTCCTTAGTCTGCCATTCAGGGCCTTCTGTATGTGGTTCCATCATGCCTCGTGTCCCTTAGAAACTGACCATGAGAAATCCAGGGATTCTCACCAACAGTCTGTTATTGCCAGACTCTAATCCTTGTGCTCTCGAACCCCTTATACCTCCCAAACCCTTCAAACTATACTATCGGGAAATTTCAACAAAGGATCAGAGTTACCCTATGTCTTGGTCCATTTTCTGTTGCTGATAACAGAATACCTGAAACTGGGTAATTTTTTTTTTTTTTTTTTTTTTTTTTTTTTTGTGGCGCGGTAAGGGGATCGTAACCCTTGGCGTGGTGTCACCCGCACTGCGCTCAGCCAGTGAGCGCACCTGCCAGCCCTATATAGGATCCGAACCTGTGGCCTCTGCGCTATCAGCACCGCACTCTCCCGAGTGATCCACAGGGTTGGCCCGAAACTGGGTAATTTATAAAGAAACAAATTTTATTTCTCACAATTCTGGAGGCTAGGGAGTTCACGGTCAAGGGGCTGCATCTGGTGAGGGTCTTCTTGATGGGCACTCTCTGCAGAGTCTGGAGGTAGCACAGGGCATAGGGGGCTAATTGTGCCAGTTCAGGTCTCTCTCTTCTTATAAAGCACCAGTCACACTCTCATGATAATCCATTAACCCATTAATCCATACATGGATCGATTCATTCATAAGGTCAAGCCCTCATGAACCAATCATCTCTTAAAGGCCCCATATCTCAGTATTGCCACATTGAGGACTAAGTTTCATCATGAGTTTGGAGGGGACAGATGTTCAAACCACAGCACACTCTCCTTACAGCACCAACTTCTTTCTCATCTGAACAGAAGCGTAGCTGTAGGAGCCCTCGCACACGCTGGTGGCTTGTTCTTTCACACCGGGGATCCCTGCGAGCCAGGAAGGGAAGCAGGCCTCGTCTTCACTCTCCATTGCTCCTTCTCAACCCTGCCTCCCCATCCCTCCTGTGAGACCCTCAGCTTCCACCAAATTGATGCCACTGGGTCATCCTTCCAGGTCACTCCTCACTGTTCACTGAAGACTTTGGTTCCTGCCTCACAATGTTCCTGGCCACCCGTTTCCTGGTCTCATTCCTGGTGTCTTTAGCATCCAGTTGGATGATCCGCTTCTTCGTCCCTCAGTAACTCCTCGCAGAGGGAAACCCCAGCACTTGTCACCACCAGAAACGGCACTGTCTCTGAAACCTGAAGAACAGGCGTCCCACTGTGCCGCACCTCCTAGACTTGCAGTTCGCTAGCTCAGCCCTCCACGATGCCTCCCTCATCGTGACCTCTGAGTGACTGACGCCACCGTCTGCTCACACACAGTGCCCCGCAGCCCGGCGACTGCTGTGTCTTCCCGGGCCTCTTGACCGATTAGGTCACGTGGACTCTCCTTCCTCCCTGACTGCCTTGCCGAGGTCTCCACACGGATGCCGGAGAGCTCCGTCTTTCTGCTTCCCCTGTGCCTGTAACCACGTAGCCAACCCTGCTGGAGAAAAATCACACAAGCAGGCAGTGGTTTAGTTCACATTTGTAAAAATGAGCCTTCACTCAGGGGTGAGGACCCCTGTCCTGAAACCAACTACGTTTCCCTAGGCAGTTTGATTTCCCTCTCTGAGACGCTTCTGTACTTCCAGTGACACCTCCATTCTCTCCCCACCCCCCTCCAGTCTCTGTCCCTCTTGGCTGTCAAGTTCACCTCACTCTTCTCTCAGAAAGGTGAAGCCAAAAACATGAACTCCCTCATCTTTCCACGACCAATCTCTACACTTCCTCAGGGCACCTTCCCCTCTCCCATCCGGTTACCAAGGAGGAGGCAGTGTCCCCTGCCGAGTACAATGCTGAGGACAGATATCAGGTCCTGATCCCTGGAACCTCTGATTGTTACTTTATATGGCAAAAAATGACTTTGCCGATGTGTTTAAATTAAGGATATTGAGTTGGGGATTATCCTGGATTGTCCGTGTGGGTCCTAAATGCCATCATGCTGTCCTCAGAGAGAGAGGCAAAGAAATTTGACTACAGAGGAGGAGGCCATGCGACAGAAGCAGAGAGATTTGAAGATGCCACACTGCTGGTTTGGAAGACGGAGGAAGGGCCATGAGCTGAGGAATGCAGTTCTAGAAGCTGGAAAAGGCCAGGAACTGGATTCTCCCTTCCAGCCTCCTGAGGGACCTTTGGCCCTCCTGACAATTTGACTTTAGTCCACTGAAACTGATTATGGACTTCTGCCCTCCAAAGTGTAAGAGAATAAATGTGTTCTTTTAAGCCACCAAGTTTCTGGTAGTTTGTTACAGCAGCCACAGGAAACTCATTCACCCTCCCAGCCCACCTACTCAAGGGCTTTGCCCCTTCAGCTACCCCCCCACCCTGCATGAATTATCAATCACTCCCTCCTATAGGATCATTTTTACCAATGTACAAACATCCTTTAGTGCATACGGCAAAAGCCCTCAGGTAGGGAGCCACAGCCCAAAGACAGCGTGGCAGCAGCCCATCTAATCAACTCTAATCGCTGCTTAGGTATGGGAGCTTATACTTTAATGATTTTAGAGCTAACAGGTGGTTGACACACCGATCCTGTTAAGAGAATTTAAAGAATTGCTGTAGGGAAAAATGTGAAAAAACGTTTGCTAAGGAGCTCAGGTATGGGATTGCATACTTCAGTGTTTTTAGAGATAACAGGTGGTTGTCATACCAATCCTGTTAAGAGATTTTAAGAATTGCTGAAGGGAAAGTTGTGGGAAAAATGTTTGCTAGGGACAAGCTACCTGCTGGGGGAAACTTTAGAGATAATTGTATTTAGATTTTTTTCATAAGAATGTAACTTTTGCTTAAGGAGAGGTTATACTTTAGATAACGAGTCAGTTTGCCCGACTTAGCTTTTCACTAATTGTACTTTGGAATGTCACGTTGTTTATTTTACTGCCAGTTACTAGTTTCCATTGTCAAGCTATGCTTAGCCATAGATAACTTTTGTAACTCTGCCCATGTCCTTGTGTCCCTTTGTAATGATGGAATCAACTGAATTTTCTTGTGAAACTTCCTGTCTTTACAATAAAAGACAGAAGCTAACTTTGAATGGGTGCTGTAACCCAGTCTTTCTCTGGGATACAGACCCTTCGGGCTCCTCAATGCATTCATGGTGCTTTGAGTAATCCTTTTTTCATCTCCATTACACAGTGAGAGGTGTAACACTTCAGTACCAACTTAGAAATTAAAAAGTCCCTGACCTCACATCCCTGCAGTTACTGTCCTGATTCATTAGTTTCCTTTCACAGCAAAACTTACAAGAGTTCTCTTCATTTCACTTTCCATTTAGTCTTTAGCCCATGCCGCTCTGGCTCCCAGACCCGCTGCACACCAAATCTTCCCTTCTCAAAGTCACCGAGGATGTCCACGTCATCTCACTGGGCTTCTCAGCAGCGCTGGTACAAGGACATCAGCCCCATCCGAGGCTGCTGCCCTGTCCCCTTCCCTGATCTGCCTCCTACCTTGCTCGTCCCTGCTCAGGCTCCTCGTCCCAACCTCTAGACGTTAGTTTCTCAGGGCTTGGACCACAACCCACTTTCCTCTTTCTGCACTCATTCCCTAGATCTCATTTATAACCATGGTTTTAACCACCATCTCTATGCTGATGACTCCAAGATGTGTATAACCAGCTGAGGCCTTTCTTTGAGCTCTGTCTACCTGATACCTCTGCTTGCTTGTCTTCCTTCACAGCAAAACTTACAAGAGTTCTCTTCATTTCACTTTCCATTTAGTCTTCAGCCCATGCCGCTCTGGCTCCCAGACCCACTGCACACCAAATCTTCCCTTCTCAAAGTCACCGAGGATGTCCACGTCATCTCACTGGGCTTCTCAGCAGCGCTGGTACAAGGACATCAGCCCCATCCGAGGCTGCTGCCCTGTCCCCTTCCCTGATCTGCCTCCTACCTTGCTCGTCCCTGCTCAGGCTCCTCGTCCCAACCTCTAGACGTTAGTTTCTCAGGGCTTGGACCACAACCCACTTTCCTCTTTCTGCACTCACTCCCTAGATCTCATTTATAGCCATGGCTTTAACCACCATCTCTATGCTGATGACTCCAAAATGTGTATAACCAGCTGAGGCCTTTCTTTGAGCTCTGTCTACCTGATACCTCTGCTTGCTTGTCTTCCAGGCATGCCAAAACCAGACTTGTGATTCCCCACGGCAATCTGCTCATCCGTTTCTCCACCTCGGTAAATGGTGCTTCCTTGCTGTTTGCACAAACCAGAATCCTCGGTTGCAAACGTCATTTGCCTTGTGCCTCACTGTAGTGCCTTGACCTCCACCCCCTTTCTGATCCCCCCATCAGCAAGCCCAATCATTTCCATTTCTGAGATGCATCTCCAATGGACTTACTCCTCTCCACGTCTTGACTCATCTCATCTCCTGCAATAGTCTTCTGATCATTGTGCTTCTTGCCTTGAGTCCCTCCAATCCATCCTCAGATGGCACTAGAATTGAATCATCTCTCTCCTCCTGTAACTTCCTTCTGTGGCTTCCTTTTCAAACCCTTTGCCTTGGCTTTTAAGGACCTTCAGGAAAGATGTGGTCTTGCTGTATACCACTCTGCCCTCTGCTCCCCTAGATCCTGGCCATGTCGATGACTGTAAACACCCTCCCAGCACTCCCTCCCCAGGCCCTTTGCACTTGCAGTGCCCTGTGCTCATCCCTCCGTCTCCGTGCCTGACCTCATTGCACCCTTGCCCTTGGGTCTCTTGCCCCACATGACCCACAAGAGCGCCTTCCCCAGGCACCTGTCTGTAGCAGCCTCCCTCTACCCACTGCACCTTCTCCATGGCACAGAGCTTAGTTTCCACACGGCCCTTTTCACAGTCTGATGCCATTTTGTTCCAGATGTATGTTAATTGGCCCTCTTCCCCATCAGTAAGCTCCCTGATGGCCAGAGAGTGTCTGCCATGTTCTCCACCTCTCCTGAGAACCCAAATGCCTGGTGCACAGTAGACATTCAACAAGTGTTGGAGGAAGAAACTCATCTTTCTGAGCGTATCTCTTTTCCATGCTCCACTAAAACTAAATGATGCGCTCTTCTCCAAATGTACTTTGAGCTGCTCCCCTCGCATAGAATGACCTGGCACCTTCTCTAGGCCAATCACGATGGTGCCTGTCCTGTGCGATCCACCCCAGCCCCTCTGCCCCAAGCGGCTCAGCACCCTGCGGCCATACACGGCTGGCTGTCCTCTCCTCTTCCTCTGAACTCCCAGCCCTGTGAGGGACTGACATGCTCCCATGCAGTGGCTCCAAGTGGCCCTGCTTAGACACCCACCTCTGAGTAGCCTGGCTTCCAGCTCAAAGAAGCCTAAAAATGGAGAAATGACTGAATTTTTATAGCAATGAAGTAAGTACAACTTTCTCAGGGAAGACTTCTCTGACCCACCTACACTATGCCTTTTCTCTATAGCCCTTAACAGAATAATAACTATTTGTTTGGGAAATCTTTTGTTTAGCATCAGACTCCCCCATCAGACCATAAGCTCATGGGATGAGGGGTGTGAATATGACATCTGGTACACAGCAGGCATTTAATACATGTTTGTTGAGGGAATGAATGAAAAGTTACATTTGTCTACCCTCAGAGGATGGCTTCCTTGAGAGAGTACCTCCTCAAAATCATGACCTTGTCCCAAGCAAATAAGGAAATAGATGGAGGTCAGTATTGTCACCCATAGCAAAGTAGTACTGCTACACTGCCTTCTCATTGCAAATCTATAGCCTTCAAGAAGCTGCACCCATTTCCAACAGCGGCCCGAAAGGTGCATGGCAAAGCCTCCTGTGTGTAAAGCTGTCCTCATCCCGGTGAGCACTACAAGACCTGAAGCAGGAGGAATGACCACAGATGGGGAAAAACCACGGCTTGTTTTCTACCTCCCAAGGGTGACATGAAC